GTTCTCATAGCAACTCCCATTGGGTTTCTGAGGCTGTAAATCTCTACTGTAGCAGAATTGCCTATCTTCCTTTTTCAGAGCAGCTGGTGAGTTTGAACCAATGACTGTCTGGTTAGCAGCCAAATGCTTATCCACTATGCCAAAAGGACCCCCTACCCCCGCCACTTACATCAGGGTAACTCCTATAATCTCATCTACCTGGGACACTATCAGGAATCAGGAAGCAAGAAAGATAAAGTTGACGTATCTCTTCTGGTGCTAGACTTGATGTACATATAAAAAAATGTGCCTGTTAAAATAATGTCAGAATAATATACCATCATGCAAAAAAGGCTGGTGAAAGAGCAAAATAAACAAAAAGTTTATTCAATTCAATTGATAAAGAATTTATTGAGAGTGCAATATTCACCAAACACTGTCCCTTATGGTGATAATGGTGATGATAATGATGAAAAGTATAATTATAGCAGAGCTAACACATATTGAATACTTACCATGTGTTGAGTACTGTTACAAACAGGACTCATTCAGTCCTCTTAACAACCCTATAAGGTAGATGTTACAGATCAAATTGTGTTTTCCAAAAAGATATGCTTAAGTCCTAACTCCAGAAACTGTGAATGTGACCTTGTTTTGGGAAATAGGGTTTTTCCTTGCAGATGTTATCAGTTAAGTTAAATGAGGTCACACTGGAATAGAGTAGGGTAGGTCTTAATTCTAATTCCTTCTGAGTTAAATCTTGAAAAGGACAGATAAGGAAACAGTCAAATACAGGGGAAAGACAGCATGGGAGGACCCATCTATAAGCCAATGAACACCACGGATTGCCAGTGGCCATCAGAATCCAGGAGAGAGGAATGGAACAGTTCCTTTCATAAAGTACCCAGAAGGAATCGACATGGTCAGGACTCTGATTTGGACTTCTAGCCTCTAGAGCTATTGGAAAATAAACTAGTGTTCTTTATAGTCATTCATTTTGTGGTATTTTGTCATGGCAGCCCTAGGATACTAAAATAATAGGTCTTATTATCATCCTTGGGAGCTCTGGTAGCATAGTGGCTAAGGCACTTGATTGCTAACCAAAAGGCTGGCAGTTCAAACCCACCAGCCACTCTTCGGAAGGAAGATGGGGCAATCTACTTCCGTAGTGATACTGCCTCGGAAACCCAAGGAGGGGTCGCTATGAGTCAGGTCCGACTCAATGGCACATAACAACAACAACAACATTATCATCTTTATTTTCGCAATGAGGAAATTAACACACAGAGCGATTAAGAACTTACCTAGGGTCACATGGCTAGTAAATGGTGGAGCTCAGATTCAAATCTATATGATGTCGCTTCTGATGTATACCAGTAGCCAGCACACTATACTGAAAACTTAATACAGAGGGTGCATGGTATGGGGAGAAATGGAAATAAAGGGGTCAGCTATTCCTACCATCAGAGCTTTCAGTTTAGACAGGAAGCAAGCAAGTAAACCTTAGAGGGGCACCCAAAGCAACCCAAGGTTCATGCAGAACACCCAGTAGTAGATGCCCTCTTACATGAGTTCTAAGAAGTTCAGGTAGGGGGTAACCAGGAGGAGACAGGAGAGTGGGGAGCATTCCAGGAGAGGCAGTCACTCTTGTAAAGGTGCAGGGTAAGGAAAAGCATGAAGAGACTCCATTTGCGACTATAGCTGACCACCAGAGATATGCACAGAATGTGTATAGGTGAAAGTGTGTTTTTCAGGGGAAAGAGAGGAGGTTGGGAAAAGAGGGCTGAAATATGAGGATGGAGAAAGAGAGAGGTAAACAGAAATAACCTCATGAAGGACTTAGACTGGTATCCTAAGGACTTTAAGGATTTATCCTGAAAGAAATAGGGGCCATGGAAGGGTTTGAATGAGAGAGTAAGCTGCATTTTAGAATAATTACTCAATGATCTAGAAAATATATTAGGTGAAGACAAAACTAGAAACAGGATAAGCAGATAAGAAGCTGGTAACAACTATAATTAGATAACAAGACAGTGGATCAACTAAAGCAGTGGCACTGGGAGTGGAGGAAAGTGGCCTTAGGTAAGAAATACCAAGGGTGTAGCAAAAGTGCCTGGTGACTGACCAGATGTGGGCAGTGAAGGGCAGAGAGGAAGTCAAGGTGACAACACCAGGTTTCTACCTGGAAGATGGGCATATGAGGATGGGCGTCAAAGGTGTGGCATTCACTGAGACAACGAACGCTAGAAGTGGAGTAGGTTTCAGATACAGAAAAGATCTGTACATATATCATGCTCAGACAACTTGACACAGAGTAAACTCATCTAACAGACAACTAACTCTAAATTCTTTCTTTAAATATTAATAAGGTTTTGGTCTGTCTTTTCAGCCTATGAGTAATTAGAAGCTAAATATTAAGAAGGGCTTGTGCCTAAGACACAAGGAGGTTAACAGGAAATGGATTTTAGAAAGACTGATACATATGGTTCAAATAAAAAGTTTTGCTATATAATAAAGAGTTAAGAAGCATCTGTTACTCAGAAAATTCACTTAATGTGGAAAACCTCATTCACTGTGATGGAAAAACATGTGATAGATTCCATGTCTTTTTCAGAAGAGAGATGCTTCAGTGATCAGCACAAGCTCTACTGCCCAGATAAGCCTTTTACTCTCTCGAAGCCAACATTCTATTTTCCCCCTTTCACTACTTTGAGAAAAGCTAACTGCTCTGTGATTGCTGGAGAGTTTTGTGGTTGATTTTGTTCAGTGTGGCATTAAGCTGGCTCTCATTTTAAGGTCATATACTGCTCCCTTGGCAATTACGTCAAAAATTATGACAGAAAGAGAAACTCACCGCCAGGTACAGAATTAATCAGTGTTAAACACATTTCTTACCTGTCCCTGATTATGACTTCACCACAAGATTGGCAATAAAATATGCAATATTCTTGGGCTCGTGGTCTTTGATTAAACAGTGAAATTGGTTCTGGGGGAAAAAAAATCAATGAAATAGCAAATCTTAGATGTTTGAAACAAGTATTTTAACACACTTAAAGAGTTTTATAGCCACAATAAACTGCCATCAATAAGCACTGTTTATGGTCTACCCAAAAGTACACATTTAATTAATATCATCTGATGACTCAACCCAGAAGCAAATATTGTGAAGTATTTTCAAAACAGATTTTGCTAAATGTTTCAGAGTCAGGTATTCCTCCAGATAAACCATATAACACACAGTTCAATTATTTTTTCTCATTCTGAAAATACCAATGTTAACAATGAGAAAAAATTAGCTATTTCATTCACATCAAGACAATTACATTGTTCTCTACCATCCTCAACCTTCCTTTGCTATGTCTTAAGGTACAGTTTTCATTGAAACTTTCACACAGTTTTCACGCACGTTTTTCACACAGTTTTCATCACACGTTTCCTAAAATTAACTCTGTCCAACTCAGAATACTTATTGACTATGGTAGTTAAAGCTGTATGTCACTTGGCTGGGCCTGGTTGAGTGGCTGGGCAGCTGGTGGTAGTTATTCCCCATGATGAGACTGTCAGTCAGCTTCATAGTGGGATTAGCAGTCAAGTGCCTTAGGCACTATGCTATCAGAGCATAAGGCAGCATATTCTCTTATTTCTTTCAGGAGAAAAGAAAACTTTCATTTTCAGAGAAAATTAAAATATTTGTCTACATAAAATCTAATTAAAGAAATGAGGTCATACCCATTAGAATCAAGCAACCTGAATTTGGTTTACATCACTCTGTATATATTTTAAGCGTTAAAAATATATTAGAAAGTTTAAGGCTTGACAATTAAAAATTCTGTAGTTTAACTATTTAGGGTACCCACAAATCCCTATAGCACAAAGTTGAAATAAACAGTATTCTCTAACTTTATGCAGCTAAAAAAGGAGACCTGGGTAAAGACATCCACAAGTCTTTCCAGAACCAATAAACACATTTTCAGTGAAACACTACCCTCTGGTGACCAAACAGTATGATACACTGGCTCAGATTTAAAACAGAACGTAACAGTGGCCTCCTGGGAGAGCATTGCTGCTAGGGGATGAAATTAACACTTGATCAGAATCCACTCAACTGTAGTCAGTTCCATTTCAAGGGAATTGACCTCTGTAACATTCATATTAGTGAAACAATACGATGTTACTACAGTTGTTCTTAGAACTCCTCTACAGTTGAAAGTCAACTTTTTAAAAACTCTGAAACACGATTGAATGTTAAGATTTTCAAAACTCATCTCCTACAACACATTTTCATTCAAGCTTACAGCAGTATTCATCTATCTGATCTTCATTTATTAAGCAAACATTAATTCACCATCTATTATGTGGTAGGCACTAAGGCAGTTAAGTGCTGAGGAATCTATTTTGCATACCATTTCATCCATTATGGAACAGACCTTTGAAAATTTTCATTGTCAGATACTTGAGCAAAATGTTTCAAAAGTGTAAAGAAATAAAAGTCCAATGAATGCAAACTATATGCAAATCAAGACATAGTAATCAATTTATTTTGTCCTCCAGTGAAAATGAAATGTCAGTTTCAGTTTTTAAATATTTTTTCTTTCTGTATTTGTATACATTGACTGCTACAGAACATGAGCAGCAACAACCCAATTCTATGTCCCAGGAGCTCTCCATTCCTCCACAGTCCCAGAAAACTAGTAGATTTCACAACACTGCACTGTGGCTTTCACACCTGCCTTTCCCCAATTTCCAGATATGACACAAATTTCCAGCTGTGTTACTATTGTTTCTCAGTGCTGAAAATGACTTCACAAGATCCAGACTCTTCCAGTCTCTTCCCTGAAACAGTACTTCCTTAACCTATCTATTAGTACACTCAGCTTGTTAGTCTATTTCCATCTTGGTGACCCATCTTTCCAAATCCATGGTTATCCCAACAGCTGTTCTTAGTATTTATCCTATTCCACCTAAATTCCAGGGTATCTCCATTCCCTGAATGTTTCCTAAAATTAACTCTGCTCAACTCAGAATAGTTATTGACTGTGATAGTTAAAGCTGTATGCCAACTTGGCTGGGCCTGGTTGAGGGGCTGCACAGCTGGCAGTAGTTATTCCCCATGATGAGACTGTCAATCAACTCCAAGGTGGGACTGACCACAAGCAACCGAGTAGCTACTTTAAGGATATGGTCTGCTTCCCATGTATAAGCAGCCACTTTGGGAACAGTCTCTAGCTTATGGCACGCTTGAACCCTTCATGTAGCCATGTTGTTGCTCAGCAGCCTGCCATGCTCTGCTGACATTGGGACTTTCAATGGACCTGAATTAATGGCCTGCCATGTGGTTTGGTAACATTGAGACTGTGCCTTTTTACTTGTCAACCTTGGGCTTGTCAGTCTCAGCAGCCAGCAGCTGTCTGAGGGAAAAAAGCCTCTAGCTCCAGTGGGCCAGGACCAGAAGGCAGAGCTGAA